GTGAGAGCGTGAGTATTCTAAAATCAACTTCTTCAAGTCTTGTCTCGACATTTTCATATAACCAATAACATGACGACACCGAGTGTTTCAAAAACGAACTGTTTGCGCAAGTCAAATGCACGCGCCGATCATATGGCGGCATACCAGAACATGCCATGTAACCGAGGGAAACAATATCAACTCGCATGGAGTAAGATCATAAAGAGACATGCAAAGAAGAAACGCTGATGGTCAAGTAATATGATATCAATTACTATGCTTTCCAGGGGGTCTGGTATCACGTGCATGTAAAAGGTAGCCAACAACATGATGACACCTGAACTGTTATGTTCATGCTGTTCTCTTTGAACAAATATTGAGGGATCTGGGCAATAACGTCATAGAATTTAAATAAGTAAGATTCTAATACATGTGTTGTCATTCGTTGAATTTAGGTGTTTTGTCGCTTTTAGTTAAGAGAGTTATCACCGAAGTTTAACAAGATCGAGTGTTTGTCTGAGCATCGGCGAAGATCAGTGAGCCCCTCTTTATGTAAATTCAAAATGTCAACGCCAGCGAATAATCAGTCTCGATTATCTACCGATTCAGATTCCATTGGGCGTAAATACCAAAATAGTGATGAAAATTATATGAATGAATCACTGATGGCACCAGGTGATCGCGAACTTCTTAAGAAAGAAGTGCATTACGTGTGGCGCCCGCCACTCTCTTTTATCAAAATCGTAAGTGTTCATTTGTTGCCTATACTCCTGCCATACGACGGCGACCTGTAAACAATCGAATCTGGATCAGACAACTTGGTGATTAGGATACGAGGCAATGATCCACCTCATCGTTGTACGAAGCCATGCTGTCAACCAAACCATCAAACATGACCACCCAATCCATTTAAATGCCCGTGAGTGAGGAGGTGTAATACCGGCCTGAAGAGGTCATAATATGTCACAGCATTGCGCATCATGTTGACAAGCAAGTGCCATATTTAGTAAAGTCCCCTGAATGTCGGAAGCTTGGTGGTGAAACCTTCATTGTAAATCTTAGTACATGTGCAGATGTGTGTCTCTCCGATAAGTGAAATTGGTACCTAAGTAGATGATCTGTAAGCTGCAATTGATCGCATATTGTGAGACACTAATATAAGCGAACAGTGACGAGTGGAAAATCTAAATCACCTCTCTTATCATACAGCATGCAGCAGAGATGCCATGCACAGATCCAGCTGAGAAACGAGATATGCTTTCACAGTTGTTTCTTTGTTTTCGAATCCCTGTGGACAGATATTCACCATTGTTACCACTTTGCAAACTGTCCCTAATGACTCGATTGATGTTTTCTCCGTTAGTACGCGTATTGATTGTTTAGCATTGTATTTAAAGACATTTTTGTCTATTATTGAGTGATATATGGAATATTTATATATTTCTACACTGTCAATTATTGTGATGAATTGTATAGATCTTGTTCATAGTGTCTGTGTTCATAGAAACATCTTTAGCAATGTATGGAACTCGTCTGTCATGTACTGTAATCATGGAATATCTATATGTTAGTGTTAAGAAATGGTTTTCAGGTCTGACTGCTCTTTAATTCTATGATGATGTACACATAATATTTTGTTGCAATTTTTACTCATTGAAAGTTTAATTTTACTCATTATACCAAATATACCTTATTTAATGTGCCAAATTATTTTGGTATATATTTATTGCATTGAACTGCGAAAAAGGAAGCAGTCATCATACATACCTTCCAAAAAATATCGATGACACACGACCGCGAATGTAATTAGTGAAAAATAAATTTTGGTCAGGGCAGTTTTCAATACATGTGCATATTTGCTTGATCAAAGCACCTGCCACAAACCACTTACGACTTGCTAGAACTCGGTTAACGCTAAATTCAAGCTCCATTTGCAATAATGTTTAACTGAAAAGTTTTAATTTAATTCTTGTCCAACATGGCTCTGGGCGAAAGGTGTCACAAAAATAGACAAGACTGCCCTACAAAGTTGTTGTAGTTACCGAAATTCCGATATAAGCTGCGAAAATCGTGATCTACTCTGCTTTGTCAGGTGACAACCCTGTGACACCAGCACCTTTCGGTAGAACTGGATGGCCCACTGGCAATTGTGATCACAGATCTTAACCCGCTGGATCACGACTGGGTCATCCTTGACAACACGATACGGAAGTGGGGCACATACAGGAGTTGCACCGACCATGCAACAACAATTTAATAAACGTGCCTTACGCCGCACTTACAAACAATCAAGTCTGGACCAAACAAACTAGTGATTGATACCATACACAATGATCCAAGTTGTCGGGATATAACGCCACTTAATCAACCAAAGTCACCGATATTGACCACATGGTTCTTTAAAGTAACTGCCAGTGTGTAAGGTGTGAAAACGCGATGTAAGCTCATAGTACAGAATAGCTTCGCGTGACAAGTGACGTGCTATATTTTGTAAATTGTTGCCTCTGAATGTCTGCCCTTAATTATCTGGAAAGACTTAACCAGTCCTTTGATGGTGATCTTGAAAAGCTTGGTTGTGCGCAAACTATCTTCCCATGAAATTTGAATGCAATTTGCATGCTCTAAAGAATCTAGTAAGGAACTAGTAGATTGCTCGACACGAAGGGGGAACTTCACGATTGTAAAATCGAAATCATCCTTCTTGACATGAAGCTTGGCGCATGGGTTCGAATCTCGAATTCGCCCCGGTGGCCCAGTCGTCTAAGACGCCGCAATTCGCTATGCAGAGTTGCGTCCCTTGGACACGCCAGAAACCTATGATTGTGGGTTCGAATCCTGGTTCACCCCGATTATGTTTCTAGGTTTGCTAGCACCATACCCGTGCGTGTGGGTTTCACCGAAGTGGTAAACGTCTAAGACCTGCATCACTTCGGGCTTTCCTCCCACATTAAGCTGACACGCCGTGATATAACTGGAATAGTGTTAAAAGCGGCGTAATACCCAACTCACTCACTCACTAACAAATATGGCAAACGTCTGGGTCCTGCATTCGGGTTTCCGCTCATGTCAAACTGACACGGCATCTAGTAACTGAAAAACTGAGTGAAACCCAAGAGTTTACGCGAGCCTACACGTCGAATGTTGGCGTCTCGGAGACCATTAAGGCAATATTCAACTAAGCAAAACGTGTATACTTTGTACTTCTACCGGAATGCTGATTACAACTATCTATTCTTTCAGAACCACATAAGACCCGTGAAGATCCGAGGTAGAATAGGTCTTCAGTAACCCAGGCTTGCCATAGGAGGCGACTATGCTTGTCGTAAGAGGCGACTAAAGGGATCGGGTGGTCAGGCTCGCTGACTTGGTTTGAAATGAGATCTCAATTGCGTGGATCGATGCTCATGATATCAATCACTGGACCATATAGGTGGAATATGGCTGAGTGTGGTGTTAAACAACAAACGAACCAACCAACCAAAACCATATAAAATGGTATCACTTTGAATTCTTGAATAAGGAAATGTGACTTCAATGACAAGAAACGGGAATATTGTAAGTAGACATTATTTCTAAGGATGTTTACACTGCAAGATCAGCAGGACTTAGGACACAAAATAACAGTATTACCCCTCTGAATAGGTTCACTTTATGAATATATGCTTTTGTAAACCTAATATGAACACTCTTTGAAGAATTGTCCGAAGAGGAAATATATAAGAGATATTAGCATGTTCTCATATACCTACAGTACCGTTACATGATAATATATTTAACCTTTTAAACCTTACACTGGCTGATCACATGATCATATTTCGCTTCAACTCATCATACTTCGTTCCCAATCATAATCGATGTGAAGTTTTGTCATTTGAAGAATCCTCACAATAGTTCATTACTTACAGAAAAAGCGACGAAGGTTACGGAATAAGTGTGGCGTAAATAGAGGTTATCACGCGAGTGTGTTTGGGGATGGTACATATCCTGCATTAGGAATAAACATTGTATTTAGCGAGCCTTGGCGAGCTAAATACATAGTGTTTATTCCTAATACAGGATATTTACCATCCCCCAAACACACAAGCGTGATAACCTCTTTATCATATAATGTCATTCTTTAATTCTGTGCTTTAAAATCGATTTCCCTCTCTCACAAACATTACCGAAACATTGCGAGTTTTCCTGGAATGCGCGCATTAATATTTATTACGTTACAGGGTAAGTGATGTGTCAGTAGGACTGTGACAGTAGCCAATATAGTTCCAACTGAAATATGTTTCATATACAGTGGCGAAGCAACTTATACGCAAAACAACAGTTGTTTTTAGTTGCCTTTCGTGGCAATCCATCGGGCTGTCCGCTAGAGTAACTGCCCTTTGTCAAAGGGAAGCTACTCTAACCCTAGTCTATGAGACGTCACGGCCAAGGTCAGACGTTGTTGACAGTCGGTCTGTCCTTTTATAACATTAAGAAGTGTAGTCAGATGTACACACAGCGACAAATCGAAACAAGGTAACAGATAAAACATATTTCGGCCGAATTCAACCATTTTGATTTGTGGAGAAGGTTTCAAGCCACAGAGGTCTACAAGCACAGATATGGCTACTGATCCCGCTTGGCTAGGTCTCGTGCCCTCGCAAAATTGTTTCGAAATTTATATCTCGAAAGTTGCCAAAACTTATAAAATGCCTTAGCTACGTCACGGTTAGACACTGATTTTCAGTATATTAGACTGTTCGTTTGATAATGATAGCAATTATCCCTGTAGTTTATCCAGATTCACGATGGTTAATTCTGACTCGATCGCCGAATGACGAGGGCGATGCCATGTTTGTTTATAAACAGTGAAAGTAGTCCTACTTGACCGTTGATATTTGCATCTCTATCCGCATATTACCCCAACGGATATCGTTTTTATCCGTTGGCTTTATCCTGCCGAGAAACCTACCCATTATATGATAAAGGAGAGTATGGCATTGTGATAACAATTGTAGGTCTTGAAAAACAAACATACAAGTAGATTTCGTGAACAGTACCGTTTATTTCAGCGGAACAATCAACAAGGATTAACTCAACACGTCATTAGGGTACGGAACACGTGGGTTAAGTCATGTGAGTATCCCACATATTTTTACGTTCGGAACAACAGCATATAAGCCGTAGAGTTATCAAAACCGGAACCAAAGATGCCCTTTCGGACATATCAGAGGATTCGTATGACCACATAGTGTTCGTCAGCGGTTACATGAATTATGTATGGCCCACGTCATACATTGCGGTCATACAAGCATTTCGTATTTTTTCGGAAAGCCTCATTGAAAATAGCTTCATGTCGATAATCAAATAAGTCAACCCGTTTTCATTGACAATTTCACCCGAATATAGGAAAACTAATGTTGGTAATAAAAATCAAAAGTTGGTGACGACAAATAGAAAATTCTAATAAGACACACATTGCCGTCATTCCACAATGTCACATCTATATACAGAAAAGCTCAGAACAAACAGGAGTTTCAAAGTGCCAGCATTGCGGGAGGTTACAGGAACATGTTTACAAGAACTGAAACGATCAGTGACGTCGTCGCAAAGGTCACATGATCCGCAGCACTCCCACCTGTAACGAAAAAACAATAGGACATTTATATAATGTGCATTTTTAGTGTAATATGTGTTATATGGAAGTGTAATGAATTGTTAAATGATGATTGTAATTGTATATTATCGTGTATGTTGATATTCAGTTAAAGTTTATTTGCCTTGTAGTTTGATAATAATTAGTTCTCAGGAATGTAGTATTATTAAACGTAAGTAGTGATTAGGAGGTTATTATATTTAGATGCTGATAAGATCAGATGCTATTTAGATGCTAGTGAGATGTCTAAACTTTATAAGTGGAGCGGGCGCGTCCCTCTCATTTCTCACATTATCATCTTACATTTCATCTGACATTACATCAAGACCAACTTTCGTTTGAAGACAACCTTTCACCCTGATGCTGAGTGCCATTAATGAAGTATGTAACGAGTACTGTGTACGTTATGTGCTCATTAACTAACTCCAAGGACATAATCTTAATTAGTTTCATAATAATACAAAAGTGATACTTGTGATTTTGGTATGTATCACACGAAATATCCCACGAGCAAGATGGCTGAACCGGACATAATTCGGATCTAGTGTAGGGTTACAGAAGTGTTGTACACACTCCTAGAAATGCATGGTTTTAGGAACAACACTTACACGTGGCTGCGGTTATCTTGGTGTTGGTGTCAGTCAGAAGAGCTGCCTGGGTTGTGGAAGTACACCCTGCCTCGGTAGTGATGGTGATAGCAGAGAGGCAGGTTTTCAGTGTAGTCAGGACACTTTAAGACATAAGTGTTGGAAACTATCATATTTCCCTCAATCACAATAATAATCACTTCAATCTTTCAGGAATGGAAATGTAAGACTGAACGAGAAAAACTGAAACGTCGACAGAGTCGTATGGCGGCGGACAGCACGTTCAGCAAAGCAGTAAGATGACAATCCTGTGCAAGTTAACAGGAATAGGTTTATCTTTTCCATATTTAATAAAGAGATCTTTTTGTAAGGTCGCATGGTTACTCCTTGACAACGATAAGGGATAAATCCCAAAATTAATGCAGTTTCACTTGTTTATTGATGTGCCATGAGATAACGTTATGTAATTGATGATAATTCACTCACGTGCAATATGTCGCGCTAGTGGAAGCGTCTCCCTTTGAAGCGTTGACCTCACACTGGCACGTGGAAGTTAGGGCTGAAAATATATCAAGAGTATGTAATGGTTTACTTACTATTCCGGGTTGTTACTTTGGTGAATATAAACAGGGAAACGAGCTATATATAATATGATTTAGACGAAACAGTTACCTTTTTTGCATATAAACAGGGAAACGAGCTATATATAATATGATTTAGACGGAACAGTTATCTTGGTGCATATAAACAGGGAACCGAGTTATATATAATGTGATTTAGGCGGAACAGTTACCTTGGTGGATACAAACAGGGAAGCAAGCTATAAATATTGTGATTGTGACTGTCGGAACAGTTCGCGTTGATTAGTTTTGTTCAGAATATTACTCTGGGGTTTTAACCGAAGTGGCCTTTGGTCTGTTTCCTGTCCACTTTAAACTTACACTGCATGAACTAACTGACATAACAGAATCAAACGCACCGTTATCATCCTGCAATTACAACACAGATACATTGATAACACCTGACCATCGGTACCTCTAGATCTCTAACAGTAGAGTCTAACCATCACATTTGTTCTGGTTCGTTACAGTATGACTGTTGCAGTTCTTCTCTCCTCTTTCTTTGAATGACAGGTCCAGTGAACGTGGTTTGATGTTACACTCCGTTGATTGGCTACTGACTTTGTGGGCGTGTCGGTTTGTATGCATAAATGAAACAATCACCTGGCACATGTCACGCTACAGTTTGTATTGCTGCGGCTAGAATGTTTATCACTCTCGTCATTTCTTCCTACATTGATTTATAAAATTGTATTTCATTAAATTATTGTAGATAACAGATGTTTTAGTTGTCGAATTTAATTATTAGGATCGGCTGTGTATTTCTTTCGGTTCCTTGTGGTATTCACACAGTTTGCACATCGGTTTTTTGGGTTCACACCAAGTATAAACCGACAACATCACACAGCCAATCCTTAAATATGACTATCTACAACATGGTTAGAACGAACTCCAAGAGACTATATTCCTCAATATAAAGCGACTACCTGGACAATCGCCGATTGACAGTGCTGCTCTTGCTTCTTCAGAAGCCGTTGCAATGGCGCTCTTGGTCGTAGTGCCGTCACAGCCGGTTGATTGAGCAGTTCTCAGGCAGCTCAACTCAGCTTTATAAGCGCTATAATAAGTATGTAGAAAAGGTCAGTTGAATATCATCCCAGGCCAGTACACAAATATGCATTTAGTTCTAGGATTTTCCGCTAGGTGAAAACGGAATTCTCAGACATCAGTTGATATCCCGAAGACATACCCTGCACCAGTCAACAAGTGAGTAATGTTTTTCATAAATGAAATTCTGCAAAAATATTCTCTTCAATGTAGACATTTTCGTTGTATCGGGATCGTACAATGCAGCAGAGTAGATATTTCTTTTGATTGTAGAAATGTCTCTTTTTTTGGTCCTTCTTTTACATTGTGTGTATTCATCACGTTGTAGCCAAAGTGGGCGTACCAAATTGATATTTCGTCTGAGTGATAATGGTAATCCGTCTAAAAAAGTTTATTTCAGTGCCTGCGGGAATGATGTATCCATTTTAATGTATATTGGTTTAGATGTGCATTTGAAGTTGCGTACGGTCAAAGGGGGACAACTCCTGGTGCATTGCGTGAAAAACGAAAGTGGGAGAAGACTGTTGATGTGTTGCATTGTAAAATTAAAGCTGTGTTCCGCTGCTATAAAATTGGGGACATGCAGGTTAATCCAGGTCTGATGGAATGTTTAACAACCTTTGATTCTCCTTGTCACAGGAAATGTGTACTCTCGTGGGTAATCGTGGCCGGCTAAATTGATTGATGCCATGTAATGTCTTAGAACTCCACGGTGTAATTACTGAATAAATCGAATCTCCTAAATTTTGTCCTTACTTAAAAATCATAAAATAACATCTAAGAAACAATACAGGTATTTAAGGTTGACTGCTGACTTGGAATTCAGAATTATGTGACATGTTAATGTCAAACGTTCCTCTTCTAATAACGTGGTGAACAATTATGGTGAAACACTATACTTGCTGTGCTTTAAATTTGTTTGTGTGTAATAGACGCTGTGGCACCCATGACAGGAATGGGGATTTTAAATCTATTAGCCACGGTTTATCAAGTGTAATTGGTGCAATGTAATCTCCTCTCCTGACTTGTGCTTATTGTGTACAAGGTTCGGCATTGTATCTCGGCCAGAATCTATGTGATTTTCCACGCGTGAAGATCAGGCTTAGAAGTAGACTTCAGCAACCAATACGTTTCATAAGAGGCGATTAACGGGATCTCGTGGTCAGACTCGCTGACTTGGTTGATGCGTGACATCGTATCCCAATTGCGTAGACCGATGTGATCAAACACTCGATTGTTTACAGATTATTTATTTATAGCTGGACTACTGTCTGGTGCGGCGTTAAAAACAAACATACAAACAAAACTGGATCATTCATGTGACAACAAACAAAACATACTGTGTCTGAAATTACACTGATGTACCTCGAAGTACACATTGCTGCAAGAAACGATTGATTTAATAACCTCGTGTTTTGACAATGAAAAGACTTTAGCTTAACTCACGTGCACTTCTTGGTATCATCAGAGATGTCTGCTTTAGCGGCAGTAATTTCACACAGGCAGGCGCTGGTGACAGCTGACAATAGATAACAAGATGATATTGAAACTATTATTGATGAGTAATCATGAAACACTGTTGTGTGATTCTAATGAAGTAACTGTTCGTGGCTTTTACTCTGGTAGGCATTCATATTATGTTCACTTTAATGCCGTTCTATTGGTGTAGTAGGTGATTACATGACTAATGAACCAAACGTGTGGTGAAAGAGTAACATACTACAGGAGCTTCCCAGAGCTGTTATCCTGGTCTCTACGCCAGTAGCCAGAGCTACTACAGTGGTGGAAGCATCACAGGCCAATGCTGTCTTTCCCTTCAAGCACGCGATGTAAGCCGTGGTGGCGCTGTGGATATATCAATGTCAACCTGATAACCACTGAAGTTGGCGGAAAAATGGACGTTACAAAAGACAATTCACTCATTTCTGATACCTTTTTTCCCACATATATCTTATCACGGATGTTTAAGTATATAAAGTGACTTCCAACAAGTATCGCTGTATAAGGAGAATGATCCAACAGCATGTATAAATTACCTGCAAACAGCTGAAGCACCGCCCGTTTCTACGTCGGTCGCCCAGAAGTTTTTCTGACATATGCAGGTAGCAGTGAATGCTGCAACTATAAAACACAAAAGAACACACACTCCTCATAATAATTCATGATCTGGCACTCTCAAGCACTCAATCATCAACCATCTCTTCCCTTCTTCACCTACTCTGATGGTACCATTTGAAACGTGTATATTATATGTCTGAGTGATGTACGCTGTTTTTTACATATATTATTTTGGTATATTTTCACATATATATCAACTTACCCCCACTACAAGATGCTGCGGTATAATCAGCCTCTATCGCATCGGAATCAGCTTTTGGTAGAGGACAACCGTCATCATCTTTCCCAGACCCCTCCAGACAGTGCAAATATGTCACTATCGCTCTGTGTAAGACACATAATATTGCACATTCTAGTTATTCCAATGAAACAGTATAAATAGACATGTATTTTTTAATCTAAACATGCAATTGGTGTTTCATTCCTTCATATGTGTCGTCTTCTTATAAATGACTTTTAGTTACACTTCAAATACTTTAAATGTAAATATGAGATATCGGCTATGGTAGTGTCCTTTTTAATAAAAAAAGACAACATATCACATCCTGTTCACAATGTAGTTGACAGTCCGATTCTGAACACCATGGCGACACAAAACCGAACACACGACAATACCTTATTATGACATCACTACATCGCGATGAATCACTTGCGTCACATAATGATGAAAACCAGCGAAGATACGAATAATAATTGCCCGCTAGGGAAATACAGCCACACAATCTACATCCCTTCGACATGTTGATATCATCTCGGCAGTGGAGACTACGATGAAAAGCTATCTCAATAAAATGAACAGTGCCAGCACTACACGACCACATCACAACACTATTTGGACCATACCAATACATCACAACACTATTTGGCCCACACCAATACGTCTTCAGCGACCCATGCTTGACGTAAAAGGCGACTATGCTTGTCATAAGAGGCGACTAACGGGATCGGGTGGTCAGGCTCGCTGACTTGGTTGATGCATGTCATCGTTACCAAATTACGTAAGTCGGTGCTCATGATATCAATCACTGGGTTGTCTGGTCAAAACTCGATTATTTACAGACCGACGTCATATAGCTGGAATATTACTAAGTGCGGCGTTAAACAACAAACAAACATCACAACAATATTTGGACCACATCAATACATCACAACAGTATTCGATCTCTCTCTTATTGTAGTGCCAATGATCAGAGATCGATACTTAGACAAAAACAGATGTCACTAAGAAGTTAATATGCATTTTGTTGAAGGGGCTGCTTTTTCAGTAAATATGATATCTGACATAACTTTGACAGTGACCGTGACAATAGTAAATGAAAACGGAAAATGTATATCGACAGTATATACTATTCTTTATATATGATTTCATTGTACACTGAATTTATTTTTGATCTTATGATGTTGTTTAGCCTTGGATGACTTAACATTGTAACCCTGATCTCCCCCGAAATTAAACCATTGCAAAATATTTTAACATATCGGTTGATGACCTAACTGACGAATACAACTTCTCCTGTACGAAATACGAAATGCCTCCTGAATCGCTAATATGACCCCTGTCCCAACAATAGGCTGCTTCAATACCACGACTCTACCATCACACTTTACGATCCTACATTCTGATGTGTCAACAAGTGGTATCGAAGCTACATCAGACCATGATTACTCCGCCACAGTGATGAAAGCGAACGTACGAGAAACAATCGGCAGTGATCACTGAATTCGACAATCCAACCTCTATTGCAAATACTAGACTCACACGATGCCACATCCCTCATCCCTCATTACTTTCCCTACTACGTTTTTCTCTCACTTTCTCGAGGTAAAATGGAAAGAGATCTACGTTCGAAATCTCACGATTGAAAACGTAGCAGATTCATCGCCAAAATAAACCATACGTGATATATTAACATGCAATTTTTGCAGTGGTCCCAGTTACTTAAAGTACACTTACGCGCATAGAGCTGCATTGTCTGAGGCAGCAGTAGTCTTGGCTGAGCCGTACGCAGCTTTACACGCAGTACATGTTTCCGCCACAGTTTCGGGGAGGCAAACTGAAAACACCAAAAATGTAGTTGAATGCATTTAAGTTATGATAATGTAATGGTGTGTTTGGTGACATCCATACAAATCCCAGAAGGTTTATTGCGTACGAAAAAGTATGCTACCCTTGACATACGTCAATGTATACGAATGCATACACGGTACTAGCGCATACAATGTAATTTCGTCTAATTTGAAAATTCACAGGCGATTTTTATGTCACTTATTTCGGAGAGGATATTTCTCAATGGACACGTTTTCCCGTCCCGTCAATTCAAACAAATTTCATAAACATAGAACGGTTTAGTTTTATGTTGTCTTTCTGCTGAATTATCATTGTTGAAGAATCCATCTCAAAGTTCTGTTTGTAATAATATAACCACTTATGTATAGGTGTATATTGAAGGACATCTTTATGGACAATGATTTTTTACGATGAACATTTGTTAATGATTTTCATGCTATTCAAAAAACAATTCTGAATCGATTTGATTAAAACACATATTTTTCTACGCGATCGCATCTATCTGTTATTCAGCATTTATCTAGCAGAGAACAAAAACCTAGGGGATATACTTTGCAAAGTCATGTAAAAACACTTTAATAACAATGTACTAGATATCTGACTGTAATGTTAAATCGTTGGAATTTATAACGTTGCATTTTGTATGCTTTCAAAACTTATTTCGTTATAATAAATAATAAATGTAAACGTGTAAAATGATGTAAAAGCATGATCAATCACCAGGGAATGTGAATAAAAAACATACTCAGATCTTGACATATCACAATTAAATAGTAAATAGAGACTATTATCCGAGCATGCATCTGTATCGTAAATATCATACATAGGGGGAAAAGAATGGTCCATGCGAGCCTTTTTCTCTTTCCTTTGATAGACTATGTATGTTTCTCCTGTATGAATCCTGATAGAAGTGGGTTGGTCGGAAAAGGGGTACGGTTCGAACACTTACTTTAGGATCAGTATATAATAAATAGCACATTTAACGACGGTTGTCAAATACACTGTTTATCACAGCTCTTGATGCGAGGGTATTTACGTCGCTGATAGATTTGACTGTCTAACTGCCAGTAGTATAATACAATCTGTTCATGTCATAAGAGCTGAAGCAGGCCTTATTATAGGCTTGTCTTTTTCTGATAAGCTACAGGTTTGCATATATTCGTTTAAGGGTGACATTTGCGATACGATTATACATTAGTTATTTAATAGCTTAGTATATGAAATAATCCACCTAGATCAATATTTGCATTACTTTTGTTGAAACTAAATTATAATATATCCATCTCTTCAAATCTGGCAAATACAGCTGGTCATATAATATGGCAATGTGGCAGTGAGGGAGAACGCGTCTCTCTCATCAGAGGCTTATGATATTGTAATTTCAACAGATATTGATGACCAGCTTCAGTGACTACACAGCTAATTGTTTAAAGGAACAATTGGACATGCATCGGTGCCAACGTATCTATTAAAGAAACATTTCTGTTTCTTTTTCTGTAGTTTGTGATATGCAAGAAAGAAATAACGTTTCCCAATATGTATTCATCTGAGTTCCAGTATATATGATGACAACAATATACGTGGAACCGGCGTTTTAGCAGCATACCCGTTCTGTTTAAACCATGTGTCATCGGAATATCTTTACTGCAACATTGGCATCAAATGGTTCTTGAATGATAGCAGTGTCCACCCTTTGATTAATATTTTAATAATAAAATAAATCTGCGGAATGAGTAATAACCATGACTAAAATGGAAGTAATAGTGTATTCTGTTAGAAAATGTGTTTCAAATGTACAAAGATCGTAAATATCCAATTGATATATATACCGTCTGTCGTTGCTCTTTGAACTTGAATCAGTCTGAATATTATTACTTTTATAATTCATAAATCAACACATTAATTTCTAGTCTATTCTAGTCATTCACTGTCTAGCATAATTGTTATTAATTTGAGCGAATAAAGGACCTACCTAGAAGAAGAACTATCACGCCAAATTTAAACATGACTGGTGATGTTTGCCTGAGAACCGTTTCTGCGTCTGGACGGAGATACTCTGCGAATGAGATCAGTGCGTCCCCCTATTTGTAACGCCCGTCTCCATAGCACCGAAATGTTGTGTCACATGGCCTGAACATAACAGTAACATGATCTCGACAATATCAGTATTAAACATGTGGACACGGGATGGAATTTGAGGGAGCTATAACCTTAAAAGATTTTCTGATATCAGTTGAGTGATAGAGTAAACGATTTTGACAATGTGTTAACCTCACAATGAATCGTAAAACCAGATTCAATAACATTAATCATGAAGCAACATATACAATAGTGTTTACGAATCATTATTATGAAGAAAATGGGTGTTTCCAAAACAAATTGTTTGTGCAGGTCACATGCATACGTCGATCGGATGACGGCATACCAACGTGGAGAACATGCAATACAACCAAGGGCAACAGTGTCAACTACGAGGGAGACAGATCATAGGCAGACATGAGACAAAGACACGCAAGATGTCCACTGATAATAGTACCAGCAATGATTCCCAGCGGATCAATGTCTCCATTAGTCTTTTAAATCATAATACCAAGTCATAGACGAGTGCACATATGTCTGTCACACCCAAAAAAAACCCAGATATGTAACTCGTTGCAGGCAGGACTTGGCATGACGCAACTTGCTGGTACATCTACGCAGAAGCCAACAACCCCACGTTATTGTGTGCGCCTGCCCTGCAGTGTTTGGTATCTGGTGAATGATTGCAATATTGTCGTGATGTTAGTGATGTAACAAACCACAAAAATAAAGAAAACGGTGTCAAACAAGGAACGCAACATTTAAAACTGGTTTTAGTCTTGAATAGTTTCATAGTTAAAAAAAACCCATTCTGGTTTATAGTTGAGCAGGGTTTTTAATGTTGTTATTCTTGTATTTTCGATAAGATTCGAATGTGGGTGGAGAATATCAGATCTTTTTCTAATGAAGTTATGAAAACCTGCCTTTATTACCTTGGACTTGCTGGTAAAATGTTTTTCATTATTATAAGTCCAGTGTAAAGTAACAAAGTAAAACAATATGAATTTATGCTGTTGATTTTTTCAGGATACTGTTATTGTATAAAGGAACTACATAAGACTGAATCCTGCTGGGGAATCGTGCAGGTAGCAGCAGTATTGTAAGTCCCAATGCTCCTTAGCTTTGGTTGGTGGCGATGTATAGGCCTTTTTATATTGTGTTATTAAATAATAGTTTATTCGTTTACATGCAGTCAAACTAGTTCTAAAGAACCTAGTTATTTCTACTGTCCTTCGGCGACAGGTTTTATACTGTCTAAATGTATTTGTTGTTAATGGTATACTTTATCTCGTCACGATAGGGCTGAAATATAACTCACACACTCACCCATAAGACTGAAATGCACATAAAAGCTTTGTTGTGTTGTCTATATAATCGTTTACAGTTGAGTAGCCTTTTCCGGCGTGTGTCTGCATCTGCCTTGTGGGTACACGTTGGCCGACAGGATGGATATGACACTGACAGTTCCGAACTAACTAGCGAAAGACTGGGGAAAGACTACAATATACTTTCTGTCCGAAATATCTGGCTGGAGACTGACTACAATACCATTTTGTAGTGCATGTGCATGCGTAATTTGATGTCTGTTGTCGAAACTAAGCTACATATATTAATTGCAGTTTTGCCCTTCAAACCAAATCGATAACATCTAACATATCATGTGTTAATCTAAATGATAAACGCTGTGCCTGAAACACGACTTTAATATTGGTAGTATAAATTGGATAACGAAGATTGTTAGTGGCAGTATATTTAATACTACTACGTTTTTAAACGCAGAATATATGTTCTTTTAATTCGGCTAAATTGACAATAATCGGCAATACCTGCAGGGATGTTGTAAATCCTGCTGGGGCCCATGCAGGAAGCTCAAGTACTGTAAGTCCTCATGGTCTCTAGTATGGTGATCTACCTTCAGCTGCTGGCTATCTGTAGCTCTATTTGATAAGGTATTGTTCTGTATAGTAATGTATTTTTATGGTTCCACGTAAGTTTTAAATCATAATCTGTGATAAGTTGTCCGTTGTTGACAGGTTTTTTATAGTTTCCATGTATTTACTATATATAGTAAAGATTTGTAAATCACGATATAGCTGAAATATTGCCGATGTGACAATTTTATAAGTCACTCACTCACTGAAACATGACTTTTTCAAAACTATTACACGTTTACACTCTTACGTTTCCAATTAAATAATCAAATAATGTAGGTAAATGTGTTATGAGTTCCATAGGTTTGAAGAGAATAATGGAATATGTATTCCTAATGGTATATTCTTACCTACCAAGAAAGCTCCCAAATATACTCTACAGGCATCCGAATCATGTACATTATCTTACATTATAAATCAGTCACACTTAATACCGTTACAGAGAGTATATGGAAGATTTTCACTTACTCGTGAGTTTTTATTGTTTTATAATTCTCTAAACCTCGATGATGCGAAATATAAATTGTACACAAGAAGAGCAAGGAGACACATACTTCTTGAATATTCGACAAGGTAGGAATCCCACGTTCGTATGTTGGTTGTATGGTTTTTTATTGTTTAACGCCGTACTCAGCAATATTCAAGCTATATGACGGCTGTCTGTAAATAATCAAGTCTGGACTAGACAATTCAGTGATTAATATCACGAGCATCGATCCACGCAATTGGGATCGATGACATACATCAACCAAGTCAGCGAGCCTGACCAGTCGATACCGTTAGTCGCCTTTTACAACAAGCATGTGTTGCTGTTTTCATAGGTAAAACAACAGAGCCAAGGTCAGCAGGAAAATTCTTCATGAGCTGGTATGATACAAATGTGATGATACAGGTGGCTTAAGACTTTGGCGTTGGTGTTAAAGATAAGCTCAATTATAATCTGGATGTTTCGTAGATAATGATCGCGAGGAGTCAAAATAACCATCCACCTTGTCTCAGTAGACAGGACATCCTTACCCTCTTCGTGAATACCTGGTGTCATCATTGACTTCCAGTGATCCAGTGATATAATGTTCATCTCTATTTTGCCTTTTACGCCCTGTGGCACTGCATAATCGAAACCGCCGTCATATAGCTGGGGTATTGCTGAGTGCGGCGTCAAACAAAAAACCAACCAACCAAGCATAATCGAAACTGTTTTTTTCTCTGGCGTTCACGTTCGACATTTGTAATCATTTTTTCGCTTGACGGTAGGAAAATGATACAGATGTAAATGCTATGTCGATAGAAGTGGACGACACACGCTGTTGATGTGCATCATATTACAGGTCGATACATTTCACGATTTCACCTCTGATTTACCACCTATTCAACATTTAGACGCAAGCAACGAGGCTATCTGTTAAGATACAGCGTCACTACTTTATTCAGAGGGTGTGAATTATTGGTCACTTAGTGTGATACTAAAACAGAATTAGGCATGCAGTAAAATTAAAATGGATATTACAATTAATATACTCTTCAAAACAAGAAACGCAAAACTGATATTTGTGGCCATAAAAGCAAAATTAGCGGACCAAGATGTGCAGTTGGAAGAGGTTTCATATGTTACAGTGTCAGTGACAAATTTCCCGGGTCAAAATGATCACAAGGACATGTAATAAATTAGCCAGGAAACAACTACGATTCCGAAAAACGCACCCAGTGTATTAACACATTGGCCACGCACTGCACGTGCAGCAGCAATATGAACGGTAATAAAGAGCAGGGTTTTTGATTGCCTGGCATCTGCGTCAATCGATAAGTGACAGTTCAACAACATGCCAAGATTAACAGGCCGCCATAGGCCGCTTGCAGGCAGGGGAATCCCGATCAGCTGTAGCCAGAGTTTTCAATGTAGCGCCAAGCACCACCACAAGGCTATGGGATCGGTTGCAACAGCAACATGTGACCGGCCAAAGTTGGGCAGACCAAGAGTAACCACCCCGCCCAAGATCACTACATCCGACTGCGCCACCTACGCGAAAGGACGACCACAGCCACCTCGACAGCATCCCAAATACCCAGTGTGCGCAGAATCTCAAACCAGACAAAACCGTTTAAGAGCAGCAGGTCTACGAGCAAGATGTCATGCTCGACGCTTCAAATTGAGCCGACAACATCGTCAACAACGACTGCATTGACGTCGTCAACACAGGGTATGGTCTCAGCTGCGATTCAAGATTTCTCCGCCGTTGAGGGGATGGAAGAGGACGGGTCTACAGACGTCTTGAAGAACGTTAAACCGGAAACTGCGTACAGGAAGTGGACAGGTTTCGTGGGGGTGGTTATCTCCCATCATGGCAGGACAGGTTTGGTCCATATCCAGGGCAATCTTACGGCTCAAAGATACATCAACGAAATTCCACAACCACACGTCCTCCGAATTGCAGCCAACGTGTATTCCAGCAGGACAACGCTCGACCGCATACAGCACGGGTCACAAGAGCCTGTCTACACAACAACAACGTTGATGTTCTCCCCTGGCCCTCCGAATCCCCGGTTTTGAGCCCGACAGAGCACCTTTAGGATGAAATGTTTAGACGGCGTCAACCACAACCAAAGACGTTGCAACAGTTGGCCGCCATCGATTCCAACGGGGGACATACGCGTTATTGATGATACCTGACCTTCACTTTGGACTGTTCCTATATGCCGATAACTGAGATGACTACAATCACCAAGTGTTCTCTCCACAATATTTTGGCTTAACCTTGTACAGTTCCTCGTATAAATGTATTTTCCTACCTCACACTAATCTGGCTTTGCTTTTCTCTTTTTGAAGAGTATATTATTTGAAAATGTCGCTTGGAAAATCACAAACTTAATACCACGCTTGTTGTCAATGACGTGGGTCAAATGAATACCAACACATTCGCAGATTAGGTGTTGTCCCCCTAAGACCTTTTCCCCCTATTGAGAAAAAAAAGAATGTTGTTTGTTTGTTTAACGGCGCACTCAGCAGTATTTCAGCTATACAACGGCGGTCTGGAAATAATCGATTCTGGACTAGATAATCCAAGTATTGATATCATGAGCATCGATCTACGCAATTGAGATAAGATGAC